AAAAAAAAAAAAAAAAAAAAAAAAGGATTCTTCGACGGCTAAATAGTGAGAGCCAGGGTTCAAGCTTTTTCCTCGGCGCTCGTGTCTTCCGTTTGATTTTTCTTCAACGATCGACTATAAAAGTCGAAGTCGTTGTAGTCGTAATTCTCCTCGTAAGGGTTGCCATGAGGTCGTGGATAGGAGCTTAGATTCTCCCCAGGGAAATGGTAATTTCCAGGATATCTGTTGCCAACACCGTAGTTCCCCTGGGGCCTACGATTGCCATAATAGTTGGGCGATTGCACGAACGTCGATGGCCCATACTTATTCGGTGCGCCCTACAAAAATTTGTATACGAAACATAATCCATTAATGGACGTGCAATATATTACATGTATCGCGTAGAAGTTTGAATGGTATCCATAATATATTACCTAACCTGAGCTAACCTAACCGTAATTTATGGTTACTGACTGGAAGTAATTTCTCGCGTGGATTTATTGTTAGCTATTTTTAGTTTGCAAGTGATGAATGATATGGTTTCCTTTCTTTTATTCATTGCCAAGTTGTATGGAACAGTATGTGAAATATAAGATGTTATCAGGAATGTGGCAATACTTTTAAAAGTAGCTCTTTTTGTGAATTTGAAGTCGTTTTAGTATGTAAATGATCAATAATTCAGTTTTCTTCCTTTTAACGTTTGTAGAATTTGATTTTAGTTGAAATGTGGTCCTTTTCTTCAATTTTTTAGAAAAGGGTGTTGTTTGAAATATGGTCCTTTTTCATTTGTTTAGAATGTAATATTATTTGAAGTATAGTGATAGTATGTAAATTAATGAGTATGTGGATTAATAATAAATTTGTCAGTTTTCTTCTTTTTCATTTTTTTTAGAATTTAATATTATTGAAATATGGTCCTTTAAAAATTTTTTTTAGAATACATTATTTAAGAGCTGGTCCATTATAGTGATTTGTAAAAGATAGTCCACGATATGTTATTGACCATTTTAATTTTGTAAATGGCCAACAGTAAGTTATTTTCCTTTTTTATCTTCACTTCACTTGTATTTAATAATATAAATAGTTGAAATATGATCCACTCTAGTATTGCATGAAATATTAAAATCAATGATCGTAAATGATTTTTTAATTGAATACATACGTCGTTAACAGTGATTTATTTTCTTTTCCTATTTTCGCTTTAAATGTACCTAATCTAATAAATTGTTTCGACTATATATGTACATAAGTAGCCAGGCTACTTTGTTAGCCATTCTGTTTCCTCTTTCCATTTTTATTTCATCGAAATGCAATAGCATTTTATCTCTGTTTTTACTTGAAAATCCAAATTTAGTGGGCACTTCATTTATTCACGTGGTAATTAAGGGATAAGGTTGCCTCCGATTCGCTGAATATTCTAATGTATTCAGGGTATCCTACTTGACTTCAGTGGTACCTGTATTTAGTACCTCTATTTAAATATCTCTGGCTTTAATGATACGAAATAACGTTCGAATTCTTTTCCTCCTTTTTTCCCCTTTAAATTATACTTTCACATTGATAAAAAAGAAAAGAAAAGAAAATACATTAGTATATTTATTCAGCACACCTGATATGAAGGGTACTGCCCTTCGCCATATTGACCGGAAACCAGCGCCGGATACTTCCTGCTGTTGAAGCAGCAATACTTCTTGTCCTTCGAGCAGTTTCCCTAAGAAATTATTGATTCGAGGATTGGTGAAAAATGATTCATTTGAAAATTAACAGAAAATTATTGCTGTAAAGATTAAGAAAATTATTGATTTGAAAATTAATCGAAAATTATCGGTTTGAAGAGTTTGCAGATTATTGAAAATATTTACAAAATATATATACGTATATGAAAGATTGCACATTGTTACTTACGAATTTTAGCCCAGTAGAGGGACAATTGAAACTATATCTGCATCTGCAAGTGTCGTACTCTCTGTAACGAGGGTCTTCTCTGATCCAAGGTGGCACAAAACCGGAATCCAATCCGCCATTGTCGATACCTCCGGTGTAAGGAGGTCTGAATAGGTTTAAATATTTTATTCGAAAAATCATCTTCTCAAATAATACAGCAATCTAATTTCATATAAACCTAACTAACCACCGATCGTGTACTTCGATACTAATATTGCAGAAATTGCAACAATTCCAAGTAATTAAAAGTTAATGCCCTTAAAAATCTCGTTTCTTCCTCAATCATGAATTGGCCAACTGTCAAAAATATTCGTCTATTGAAACGAAATTTATTCAGTTTATTTTATTTATGACAAAATTAAGAACTAAAATCTTGTGTTTTGGTATTGAAATTGAAAAAAAAGAAAATTGCAAAGGAACTCGACGGAATTAAAACAATACTAATTTCCTCAAAAGTTCATTATAACCATGAATTGGTCAGTTGTGAAAAACATTCGAATTATAATATTCGTCTATTTACTTAAATGTCCATAACAGAAGTTCTACGACAAAATTCCGACATTTGGTCGCTTTTCATAAAAATGCAGACCCTTGGTCGGACAAAGCCAATCAACATCGAGAACGCGAGCGTCGAAAATGTATTTACTGGGTCGGAAAACAGCGGGAAGATACGAATACCTTTTTATAATGCCAGTCGGCCCGCCAGGGCCGACAAGAACTCCTTTGTTGCCAGGATACGATGCTGGCACAATGGGTCTACTGTTAGGACCGTAAGGTCCCGCGTTTTGTGGTCTAAATCCTATCAAAGGTCTCTCGTCGAAATCCTCCAGGTTCTCGTTCACCTGGTACCTATAACTGGGACGAAACAGTCTATTTTTTACTTTTATCCTTGGATAAATGTATTCAAAGATATATTCTACATGCTTTCTTTCCTTTTTCCTTTAGGTTTTGATATTATCTATGGGAGATAAGTGTTTCTTCTTTGTCTTTTCGGTTTAGTATTAATTGTGGAGATTCATTTCTAGAAAAATTCCATTTCAACAACATACTTCAACTTCATCTCTTCAGTTTATTCATAAATTTCGAACTCAGAATCGCAATTTATATTCTCAATAAAAATTTCGAATTCTTAAGATCCATTGCTCTACCAATTGTCATTCTTAACCTCATTCTAGAAATTTCTTTTTCAACAAGCTTCTTCAACCTCATTCCTCCACTTTATCAATTAACCTCGAACTAAGAATCTCAATTCACAATCTCAGTAAAAATTTCGAATCCTCGAGCCTCTTTGCTCAACTCTGTCATTCTTTTCAACTCAACAACCTTCTTCAACCTCATTCCTCCACTTTATCAACAAACTTCGAACTAAGAATCTCAGTTCACAATCTCAGTAAAAATTTCGAATCCTCGAGCCTCTTTGCTCAACTCTGTCATTCTTTTCAACTCAGCAACCTGCTTCAACTTCATTCCTCCACTTTATCAACAAACTTCGAACTAAGAATCTCAGTTCACAATCTCAGTAAAAATTTCGAATCCTCGAGCCTCTTTGCTCAACTCTGTCATTCTTTTCAACTCAGCAACCTGCTTCAACTTCATTCCTCCACTTTATCAACAAACTTCGAACTAAGAATCTCAGTTCACAATCTCAGTAAAAATTTCGAATCCTCGAAAAATACCACGCACCTTCTTTGTTCTGGTTTACTTTTCTGCTCGTCTCCGGTGAATATCGCGAACGGTCGACTAAAACGAGAGTGAAAGTGAATCGCGTCTTTATATATACACCGTTGGGAAGGTGAACGCACCGCGTGTCTCGCTTCGAGGTCCCTTCGATAGCGATCTCGGATCAACAGTTTTCGTCAAGGGGGTGATTCACCCCTTCAGCGGCTCGTTTTAACCTTTGCAACTTTCTTCAACGGTGATTAGGATCATTTCAACCCTCGAGAGTGAATAATTTTCGTGAAAATTTCGGGAGTTAATTGCGAAATAATTTTTCGTAAACTTCGGTCATTTTGATTAGCGTTTAATGTAAATTTTAGTTGTGGTGATCGATTACGTAATTTATAGCAAATTCTGGACAGCCCTTGAGTGGTATCCAGAATTGTTCGAAGCCTTGAAAGTTGATCACTTTAATGAAAATTTAGGGAATTAATTGCACAATGATTTTTGGAAAATTTTGATCGTGGTAGTTATGGTTTAATGTAAATTTAAATTTTGGCAATAAATTGCATAATTTGCAGCAGATTTTCGGTAGTTATTAAGTGATATTTTGGTTACAGTGATTAGGGTAACTTGAAGTTTCGGAAGTGTTGATAATGTTAATGAAAATTGATGGAATGAGTTGCAAAATACTTTTTGGAAAATTTTGGACATATTAGTTGTAGTTTAACATGTAGTAAATTGTAAATAAGGATTCACGTGTATTTTGGTTACGGCAATTCGGGGTATTACAGCTTGGAAGTGTGTAATGAGAATGGAAATTATGGAAATCAGTGATGAATAATTTCTTTGAAAAATTTCTACAGCGATTAGGGTAATTAAAAAAATCTCGAAAATTCATATTAAAAAGCGAAAACTGTCGAAATTAATTATTAAACAGCTCTCAAGGAACATTTACGCGTAGTAAATTGTGGATAGCGATTATGTGGTATTTCGGTTAGCACGATTAGTGTCAATGGATTGGAAATTTGTGGTGGGAACGAAAATCGAGGAAACAGACGATGGAATAGTGTTCGGAGTATATTGATTTTGTTATGGTAATAAGTTGTACACAATAAATTGTGGTCACCGGGTTGGTTTTGTGTTTTCCAACCTGATGAATGCTTCCAACTTTGTGGTTGTTATTTCGCGAACTTCACACTGAAACAATTAAAAATCATACCAAAAAAAAAAAAACAAATTCTCCGCTATTTCATTCATAAAAATCCGGGAAAAAGAATGTCTTTTGCTTGCTTGACTTTTTAAGACGTTCACCTGAAAAGCGCAGCTGAGAAAGAGAGAAAAAAGTCTCTTCTCACTTTTCATATACACTTCTGGCACATTTACGTATCCCTGTAAAAAGTTTCTATAAATCCTCTTCGTTATTTTATACATACACTACCGGCCAAAAGTTTGGAATCACCTCCCACTTTTCATCGATATTAAATCTGCTGCTAACTGTTTTATAGATTTGAAGTTTATCTCAATTCTACATTTATCAATTTATCTCATATCAATTGATTCGAATGATAAAAAATTCTCAAAGTCGCTGACTTTTTTCTGGAAATTTTTGTGTAAATTGCAATGCTCAGTGATTCCAAACTTTTGGTCGGTAGTGTACATAATTACAGCTACGAAAATAATGAATATGCAAAGAAGAGAGAAAGAAATGATGCATATTGTACCGCTGATCCGATGAGAAAAAAATAACATTGACACAGATAGCTATATTAAAAAGGACAACGTAAACAGAAAGTTGGAAAGGCGTGTGCACGAAATGCGTGAACATAACGAGTTGGCTAACGTAATGGAGAGACACGTGGGTGCATTGGATGGAGACCAGTATTTCTCAGACATGTCCTTCGATCTGGGAAAATCCGTGGTGGACTCGGTAAGGGGGAACAGGGGCCATTACAGGTGGTTCTCTGGCCTCTTTCTTTGAACAAGATCCAGCGAAATTGCGTAATACACGATTCCCTCACACGACTCCATCGTTCTTCCACGAAGGACGTCTGCATTGTCTGTTATTCCAATGTCTGAAGATGACAATTTTTTTGCCTCTTTTTCTTTTCAACAGGAATCGTTCATTCTTGTTGTATGTTTGATTAGATACGATAGAAACCGTTTTCAGGGTGATTACGATAAGAAACGAGGATTGATACTGTTCCTCGTGCTGTGATGGTAATTAGAAAACGATATTTTTATGTTGAGTTCAATTTTAAAATTTTTCAATCTTGAAATTTTTATTCTCAAGATCAAACATTTCCTATTTTAACCGTTTCGAAGGTCACGAAGGTCCTCATAGGAATCAGTAGCGTCCTCGTAAAGCTAAACACATCGAAAGGTTTTCAACAGTTTTCTAAAGAATCCTTAAGGTTCCTAACTTCAGCCATATCTCACAGACTCTCAAATTTTCATTCAGAAAGCATAAAAATCCCCAATTTTAACAATTTGAAAGGCCAAAAAAGGGCCTTACGAGTATCAGTATCGTCCTTATAAGGTCAGGCACCTTAAAAGATCTTCAACAATTTTCTCAACTTCAACCATCTCTCATAGACTTCCTCAAAACCAAAAAATTCTCAGTTGTCACAATCTTACAGGCAAAAAACAAGCCCTCGTAAACCTAGCAGTGTTCTCATAAAGCCAGGCACCTCAAAAGATCTTCAACAATTTCCTCAACTTCAACCATCTCCCACAGACTTCCTCAAAACCAAAAAATTCTGTTTTCACAATCTCAGAGGCAAAAAAGCAGCCCTCATAGACACTGCAGTCTATGCACTCGCTCATAAAGCGAGACACATGAAAATCTCGAGAAAATTCGCCGTGGATGGAAGGAAGAAGAGAAGGAAATGACCGGCCACTTGGCGCACAGTTTCTCGTGGTCGGTGTAACCTTGTTTCGCGGTGGAAAAAGGCACGATCGAACGAAAATCCAATGATCAAGGTCATTTTCTCCGACTATGCCCGCTTGGCCACCGAGGAAATTCACTTTTCCCCCGGGGACAGGAAGGCAGCAGCGCCGCCGTTGACTCGTAATTCGGTTTCCTTGATTTTTACGCCGCCGTTGGCTGGCCAACGATCTCGTCGATTAACCATTTCACGGTTCCACGCTGAAAAAGGGGCACCGTTAAATCGTTTTAAGTTCGCCGGGAACATTCTTTGTGTGGCGGCGTGAGGAGAAACGAAACGGGGTTAATGGCGAATTTTTCCGGCAAATAAACGAGAACAAAGTTAAACTGATCGTGTTGGTCATCCGAAAGTTTTTCAATTAGCGCTCGTGCACTTCGACACGGTATTTTCGGTGAAATATGTATAAGCGATAACAGAATGAAATTTTCATATTCTACGGGGTGACCTTTTCGAATATTTCCACGCGAAAGAGGACAAATTCGAAAAGCTACAAAACGTGATAATATTTTATACGGTTTTAACACAACTTTTTACTTTTATTTCGCTGAAACGAATTTTGCGTTTTCTGAAATTTCTTCCGAGGTTAATTGAAAATTCAAATTATTACAGAAACTTCTTAATTAGAAAAAATTCTATTAAAATCACTTACCAAATTTTCAAGATTCACCGTTAAGTATATACATAAATGTCTAATTGTGCAAAAATAAATCAAAATTGAAATTTGTCGAGTTACATGCGCTATCAATACCGAGCAGTGACACGAGAAAATTGTATACTAAACTCGATTTCGAGTCAACTTGACCTAATTTCCATACAAAGGGTTGCAAACTCACGACGAAAAAAAATTCCTGGTAAATTTAAACGACGCGAAAATTTCGAAATTTCACTCCATCTCGAGGAACCACGGCACATATATCGCGAAAATCAATTGGCAAACAAAGGCTCATGACGCGTGACCGAGTTGCGTACCGAAATCCAGCTGGAACATCCGTTCCGCTTTTGTGTTCGATCGATCGATCCTCCTCGCTTTCCGCCGGATGCGCTCAATCTTCTCCGTCTTCCTGCTTTCCCCCATTTTTCTTTTTTTGTTTCCAATCGTTTGTTAATTGGAATAATTGAAATGTAAGGAAAGAAGAGATGAAAAGGAGTATAATCTTCTTCGATCGTTATCTCAAGGATAATGTAAATTAACTTAATTAAATCAAGGAAATGTTGAAGGATTAGGAACAGGTATAGTGATCGTAAAAAGTGGTCGAAGGAGGATTTGACCTTGACCCAGACTCGGGAATGGATCTAAGAAAGGAAGAACGCCTCCATATTGTGAAATAACTGGAAACTGACCTTGAAGATTCTTCCGAGTACCTATTTCAAGAGGTGACCGTGAAGATATTTGAACAAGGTTAAGTTAGGTTGTTTTAAATAATTCAATGGATTTTTAGAGGCTTGCCTTTAAGCTAATTTTACGATGGAGATTAAAGGAGAAGTTCATTCTGAGGAGATATTGTAACGGATTGCTGGGTATTTTGGATTCGAGTGTTTGAGGTTATGAGATTGAGGAAAAGATGGCGACCCCTGAGGTCTTGTCGAAAATTAGAAGAATTAGGTATTTTGAATGGGAATTGAAGAATTTTGTCTCGGAATTGAGATGATTTCAAAATTAAAACTGACAGATTTTGTCTAAGAATTTTGAAAAATTTTTAATTGGAAACTAAAGAATTTTCTTAAAGAATTTAAGGAGAATTTAAAAATTACAAATAGAGAAATTTTTGAATTGGGAGTTGAAATGAATTTAAACACTTTCAAAATTAAAATTGCGAGGCTTCCTCGCAGAATTTCGAAAAATTTCCAAAAAATCATTTGGAAAGTTTCAAATAATTCCAACATTAAACCTAAATAATTTCGAGAAGATTTCAAAGTGAATGCCAGAAAACTTGTCAATCGAGAATTCCAAAAAGTAGCAAAATCAAAATTGGAATATTCCCGACAAGTTTTTAATTGAAAAAAATTGAAGTCAAAGTAGATTTTTCATTTTCAATGCGCCGCGAGAAATGTTGTTCGGACGTTACCGAGGAAAGTAGGCTCGATTCGAGGGAAAACCTGAATCGTAACTTTCGACCCGGTGGAATTAATTGTGCATTACGTAAGCGGGAAATTACGCAAGGCTAATCGAGCGTTCCTCGACACTACCAGGGTACGGTCACATCGCACCGAAGACCAAGAACGGGAAAGTGGTGACTATATTCTACGCCATCGTCGGGATTCCCCTGATGTTGCTCTGCCTCTCGAACATTGGTGACATTATGGCGTCGAGTTTCAGGTAATTGATCATGGAGTATGCACTCACCTCACGTTTTATAGCATCCACTTGCTACAGTTTTAAACGACACACGTTAGAAACAAGGAGAACCTGTATATTTCTAAAGAAAGATTAAACAATCGATGAAAATAGTATATATTTTTTGAAAAATATTCAAAAAGAAGGAGAAGTTGCACGGTTATAAGGATTATTATTTCGAAGATTAATTATCGTATATCTTAAGATTTAAAAGGAAGAGACAGATAAACGAGATCTGTTCTGAGACTCTGGATGAAATTCAAAATTCAGATTCTCTCAGATCCCCGAATTCAGTACTTAAATCTACGTTAAATGGGATTAATTAGAATTAGAATCTTAAAATCGTAGAATTTTGTTGAAATATAAAAAATTGATCAAATATAGGTTTCTTTACTGGAGAGTCTGCTGTTACGTATGTACGAAACCACCGAAAAAGAGGCGACCCAGGGCTCATTTGGTCAGATCGTATTCCATGAGACAACCAGGGTACTTGTTTAATTTATTAAATAATCATCTTGGTAGTAATAATAATATATACATAACTAAGGTAATAATTTTTCAAAGGCGATACGGTGGAGGCAAAGGTGGCTTTAGACGATCCATCAGAGTGAGTCAAAGGTCTGCAGATTCAGCGTTGGGCTTGTCTGAAAGTCTGGCTAGATCGTACTCCGATGTTGACTATAAGTATGCAATACAACTTTCGATATTTCAATACGTCAACAAAGACAGTTATTAATTTACAATTTAACGAGACATTCAGTAGCTAAAAAATTCTAATACATTATACAGGACGTTTCGTAAATTTCATTTTTTAATTTTCAAGTTTTACCGAGAAAGAAGAATTTTAAATGATCTAAGGTGATTCAAAATTAATGTTATTACATCAATCTCGAACTTAAAGCAGAAATTTATTTCAATTTTTTTTACAATTCTCTGCTCATCGTTGAAACGTAAACTGTAACCACGAACTCAGCTAAAATCCCTTCAATTCACTGCCAGTGTAAACTGATTTCACGCGGTTCGAGTCAACTGGAATAACTGTTTCCTTTCGTAAACGAGGTATCTTTGTTTCAATGGAAGATACAACACTCGTCGATACGAGGACGGAGAACAGAGAAGGCGGAGTCCCTCTTATCCTTCGTCTGCGAATCCAAATTTCGGATTCAAGTCTGCTACGGTGTCCAGATACTCTGATCTGCCAATGGCAAAATTCACCAGAGGTACCTGAAGAAGATCTACCACGAAGAATTTAAATCAATTTTCATTTATTTTGAAATTTAATTTTTCTACTTTGCAATGTAAACGATAATTTCAATTTAAATTTTCTTTCCTTTATTTTGTAATTTAATTTTCTAATTTTACCAATCAATTTTGTTAATCCTTCTTTTCTTCTTTGTTGCATATACATTACTTACACGCACATAGAAATAAGTGAATAATTTATGGACGATTCTCGAAATTACTCATCAGTTTCAAAATAGCAATTTTATTCAGCCAGTCCCAAGATGATGACACAATCGTTAGACAGGAAGTTGATGCTGCGTTCACCAAACGACACTGATCGTTCACCAGTCTTGTGCAACAAATACGCATTAGAAGACCTGGACGACGAGCTAGAACGATGGAAAGCTTCCGCAGGGAACAAAAGTAACTATACAGTCCTGAGTAAAAAAAACATGTAGAAGAATATCGTCGCTTATAAATCTCTGTTCGTACATCACTTTGCGCTGTTAATTGCCATTATGAATGATTTATCGATTTATTTAACGCGACGAACCCTTTAGCAGAAAAGTTAATTAAAACGTGGAATATTTTTACATTTCTTTCTGACAATCACACTGTACGTTGTTCTATATTGTTCGTTTATTTCCCTCTTCCTTTTTCCGTTATACCAGGGAAAATGTAATTTTTTCCATGCTCCGAAATAATTGGATTTCCTGGAATGTTTTTCTGACAAATGGAACATTTGTATCACGTACTGCCTGTTCAAATACACATTACAGGAAGCTTCTTGATGCACACCTTGAAATTGATTCGAATCCCAAGCTATTGCACGTTTAAAGACAAGTGGCTCCTCAAGCCTATAGCCTGCTTCGATGTACTGCTCGCTTCAAGGTCACAGATGGAAAAAATTAAATCTGACGAACGCTAGGCAAACTTGAAAATTTTATCAACAATAAAGTAACGAAAACTAGTTAATTTCATGCGTATGATTTTTCATATTTCTCGGTAACGCCATTACTGTTGTATTTTCCCTTAATTTTTAGTTAATGTACTTTGCATCTTACACGAGTATCTTTGTTATTTTACACTAGTTTTACGTACATAGAGAGTTAGAGAGACATGAGTGAAATTATACGTGAAAAATGAATTAACACGGCAATTTATTTTCACCGTTTAACGAGTGACTGTTCGGACGTTTACAGTGGACGATTCAAGGAAGCCACGACAAGTGGCGGAGGTGGTAGAGGGTGCAGAAAACGGCGAGAAACAGCCGCCATTAGTGACGAGGTCATTGCCCAGAAGATGCTTATCCATGGAAGGTGCGACCAGCAACTACAGGACAAACCTGCCACCGCCTTTACGACCGTCCTCGATTTACTTGGAAATGGAGAACTCGAGGAGGTCTCAAGCATCAAGGACCAAGCGGTATAGAAGCAACTACCCCGTTGGTAAATATATTTCTACGAAATAATGCACCGAATATGCACCATAAATTCTACATTATTATGCCTTCGTTTATATTCCTTCGATTTAATTCCTCGTTCAAAATTTATACTACTGTTCATAAGTGTTCAGTATTGGAATCACTGAGCGTTGCAATTTGCGCAAAAATTTCCAGAAAAAAGTCAGCGACTTTGAGAATTTTTTATCGTTCGATAAATTGATAAAAGTAGAATTGAGATAAACTTCAAATCTATAAAAAATTATCAGCAGATTTAATATTGATGGAAAGTGGTGATTCCAAATTTTTGGCCGGTACTGTATGTACACTGACTGAACGTGAAGCAAAATTAAACAGTCTTTGAACAAACTATTGAGATCGTGAAAAACATTATTCAGCGTTAAATCTTGTATATAGGGGAGAAATGTAATTTAAATTGTGCCATACTTTCTGTACAAACGTAACGGGAGACGTAATACTTATGAACGGCTGTGTGCATCGTTTGTCAATTTTACACTTTACACTGTGTACGTATTACATGTTTGCTTCTCTAATTTGCTACATTAATTGCGCCCAAAATTTATATCACCTGTTAATTCCTTTAAATTGTATTATTCATTTATCTGTTTTCTCAATTTCTTGATTTATCGTGTATGCTTCTACGGATTGCATTACTTGCTGATTTTTGCAATCGACATTATTTATTTGTTTATATATTGTTATTATTTGCTAGTTTCATTTTAGAGAGTATTCGTAGAAGCGTGTGATTTTCTTTGCTTTTTTGTTTTTTTTTGGGGAAAGCTTAATTTTACGGAAAAAGAAATTTTGCCAATGGTTGTTTATTTTATTTACTTCCCCAATTTGTATTATTTTCTTATTTTCTTCATAAAAATTTTCATTTATTCAATTTTTATAGATGTTCATGATTTTTTACTATTTTTCTTTTTGTTTTTTTTTTCTTTTTGGAAAAGCTCGATCTTACAGAAGAGAAACATTGCCGATGGACATTATGTCACCAGCTGGGCTCTCCGTGCCCAGACAAGTGTACGTGGACGATTTTGATTCTGAATACGACTACTATACTAACGACGACCAGGAAAGACAGCCTATTAAGCCGGTACCAATATGGCTGTGCGTCTTTCTGGTGGTCAGTTACATATTCGGTGGCGCATTTTTGTTCAGCGCTTGGGAACACTGGCCCTTTCTCGATTCTGCGTACTTTTGCTTTATTACTCTCACCACTATAGGTTAGTATGATTTTCTTTTCATTTTTTAGTAGATACTTAAATTATCCTTCATTCTTTGTTAAAAGATTGAAAAATTTGGAAAATCTCCAGCCATGAAATTTGTTAATTTTTAATTTTCACCGTGTATACAGCATTTTAGAAGATTCAAAATTGTGATATTATTTTTTTTTTAATTTTCAGTTTTTTTTAATTAGTTCGAAATTACATAAAGTGATTCTATACTTGAATTGATACATTCGAGGGTAACACACACATGTTGATAAGCCACGCACCTTTTAACCGCCGAAAGTTCCCTCTAATCGAACCTCTTGTCCCAAATATCCACTCGGCAGCTTCCACACGTCCCTAAACACTTGTCATTCGCTTTTAACGGCTGAGAGGTTCATTCACCCCTCCAAAACACGCCAAAAGTTCATTCGATTTCCTCGAGTATTGTTCACATTCATAAAAATAAGCAAGAATTATCCTGATAATTGTACAATTCAATGTTCATCAATTGCATCTCGTTTCATTCATTTTACAAGGATCGTTATCAAATTTAATTTAATCACTTCGTAATAAGAAGCATGGAGCAGTTTAAATTAAGTACGAAATTTTGTAGATTATTATTACAAAAAGATAAATTGGTTGAATGGAAAGATTGAAAAATTTCAGACAGTTTAATATTCGATATTAATGAGAAAAGTGACAGTGCACATAGAAAACTGTGAGAGCCTGGAAATTCGATTTAAATGTCTGGAGATAATCACTCTAAAAATAAAATTCTCTCTCCTTCAAGAAGTGAACGAAAATTTTTAGTTCAACATCTAGAGAGCAGAAGAATAATCTCTGTAAGAACGACATCCCTCGAAAACTCAAGAAAGTAACACTAGAATTTAATAAAAGAACTTATCCCTCGCACGAAGTTTTCGAAACTTTAAATTCAACACTTACAGATCAGAAAATAATTTCTTTGTAAAAACAACATTCTCTCTAAAACTCAAAAAAAGAAACTCAGTAATTAAGAAAATAACTACATACCAAATTTATCCTTAAAAAAATTCTTCAGAACCTTAAATTGAACATTCGCAGATAAAAAATAACATTTCTGTAAAGACAGCTTTCCATCATAACCTCAAAAATTAATCAAACAATTAACTCGTCACAATTTCAAGAAATTGAGGGATCAAAGAATTTCTAAAAAAGAAATCTAGGAAAAGCACTTGCAAATTAATAAAAAATTACTTGCATATCAAATCTTTCGCTCACAAGAATCTTCAAAACCTTAAATTCAGCACCCACGCCTAAAAACAAACATCTCTGCGAAAACAGCTTCGCTCATAACCTCAAAAATTAACAAAACAACTAACTCCTCGCAATTTCCCTAAATTAAGGGACGAAAAAATCTGTAGAGAGAAAAAGAAAAGGAACAAATACTACGAGTGAAGGCCGGAACGTGGACTGAAAAGACAAAAAAAAAAGTTAAATACGATGGGTCGTTGCAGGATTTGGTGACTTCGTACCAGCGTACAAACTGGACGCTCACAAAGGGATCGCGGTTTGCTCGTTGTACTTGTTATTTGGAATTGCTTTGCTGGCGATGAGCTTTAATCTGGTGCAAGAGGAGGTCATCAACAATGTGAAGAACGTCGCGAAGAGGCTGGGGATCATCAAAGAGAGTGACGACGAGGAAGATGCCGACGACTACGACGCGTACGACGTCGAATACAACGACGAGGTCGACAACGAGCTCGAGGGCCACGTCCTCGATACTCCTCGATGTCACTCGATGGCTAGAAACGTTCGCGGAATTTCCGTCGCGTAGCCAACCACGCGGCCCGAATTTCTTTTCATTCGTGAACTCGAGATTCTTTCTTCTATCCCTTTCCTTCTTCCATCCTCCGTCCCTTCTCTACTTCTCTTCCACCATCTCTTCTCCCTTCCTTCATTCCTTTTTTACTTCTTTTTCTTCTTCCCTCCTCGCTGCTAATTAGACGCGTCTAAATGGAGACCTCTCTCGCGATTGTGTTTTGAAATAAAGAGGAACTGAAGAGCGGAAGGGAAGGAATTACAGGAGAGGATTGTGGATTCGAGTCTTTGGAAAAAGGATTTCGAGGAGTTCTTAGTGATAATGGAGGGTTTTTCCTTCCCTTTCTTGCTTCTTCGTCTTCGTTGATCGTGGTGATTGGAGCGAGATTTCTGAGGACGTTCTTTTTCTTTGAGGATGAAAGGTGATCGCCGATGATGATTATTTCGTCTTTCTTTCTTTTCGTTTCAAAGACAGAGCTGTTGAGGTTGTTTCGTTTGAGCGATTTCGAGGTGATAACTTGGGATGAAAGATGATCGCTGATGATTCATTCGTCCTTGTTTTATTTTTTTTTTTTTGTTTTTGTTTCAAAGACAGAGCCATTGAGACGGTTTCATAATTGAGGTGAGCTAGGGTGTGAAAATGATGATTTTTCGTCCTCGTTTTTGTGTTTAAACAATTTTTTGTTTATTACAGTGATTGAAGTGCATTTTCCAAAGTAGTTTTTTTGGGAATGAAAGATCAGTGATGATTCTTTCATCCTCGTTTTTGTGTTTAATAGACTATTGATTTTTTCGTTTGAGTGTTTTAATAAATTCTGTTTCTCATATTCTGTCCACGTTGTTTTTACATGTTTATATTGAAGATTACACGAGAGTTTGTTTAATTTCGTTTAATATTGAAAATCATTGGTACAAAATGTGTAAAAAACTTTAATTTTGTAAGTTTATTTTTTAAGTTCCTTCTATTATAGTTAATTATCGAAGTCAGACTTCTTACAAATTTAAGTTTCAATGTAATCACTAAGCTAAATGATCAATAATATTGTAAAAATTGTTAGAGGTATAATTATTGAATTTTAGAAAATACACCGACCTGATGTTTCGCAAATTAACGTAATTATGCTAACATAAGTCCGGTCATGCACTGTTTCACATCTTAAGTGGCATGCAACAAGCTGGAAAAACCCTTGCACGCATTCTGATATTCCCCATTGCACTATCGAGGCAATTAGGATAAACGTAACTTTCTTATCTAACATAGAAAAGCCTCACAAAAAGTTATTCACAATTACCAGCACCTTATTTCATAACAAAAAATAAGAAACCAATTTGCAATAAACGTTAATTTAAATTTCAATTAAAATTCCATTTAAAGGTAAAATTGAAAATTGTCAAATGCAAGTTCTGCATATACATACTTAATACAATTTTAACCCCAAAGACTCAATTTTCAACTATCACTATACCTCGTGTAACACGAAAATATACGAAACGTCTATTCTCGCGAACGAAGAAAAATCGAAGTGTAAATTTATTCTACTGAAAATTGCTGAAAAATTCAATTTTCCAAAATTCGCCTATCGATTAATGAAAGAATTCCGCAGACGTAGGAAGTTCACGTGGGTAATTTATCAATGGCAAGAAAACGTCGCGTGTAATAAATTTGGAAAGATGTGACGACCGCGTTCCGGGCTACGCTTGTGTCTACCGGGTGTCCAGGAAGTTGGAACCCGGTCAGGGACGGAGCAGCGTTTCGAAGTGGGTATTTTTAGCGGCGCGCTATTTTCGTTCGGTGTGTCGAACCAAGTGGCACGGAATCAGTGCACGAGGAAGCCTCGAGGAAGCGGCTCGTTTTCACGCAATTATCCGTGGCGATCGCGAAAAAGCAGCCTCTCAATGTGAAAGACCGGAGGATAATTGGAGCGTCACCGCGGGAACATCGAGTATACTCGAGTGCAGCGAGAAATTAATATCCAAATCCTCTATGAAATGAAACTATGACGGTCAATGGGGAGTTATTATATCTGAATTTCCAACTGGTTTGCTGTTTGTAAATTTCGTGTCACTTGGTGGAGGAGCATGAGATAATGTAAATTAGATTAAATTGGAGAATTGTTACTTTCTCATTTCCGTTGAAGCAATACCTATCTAAGTTTGAACGAAGAGAAATTAACGGAGGAGAATTAACTGGATGTTTGTGTAATTTGGTGGAGGAATATGAGACGTTGCAAATTAGATTCGATTGAAAAATTGCTAGGTTTTCATTTTATTTGATGAAATGTTCAGACTCGAGTGGAGAAAAATTGCTGTTGTGGTTTGTAGTTAAGGGGAACTGATGTTTGTAAAGTTTGTGTAAGTTAGTGGATGAATACGAGAGATTGTAAATTAAATAAAAGTGAAGAATTACTAGTTTTTAATTTTTATTGGAGGAGCATCTAAGTTTGAACGAAGAGAATTTACTGTTGTGGTTTACAGTTGAGAGAAATTAGTGTTTGCAAATTTTATGTAATCGATGGAAGAATATGAAAAAGTCCAAATTGGAATTTTTTAATTGCACTTGAAACAATGATTGTGGAGTATTTAAATTTTCCATTAGTTCGCAGTTAAGAGGGATTAGAATTTGCAAATTTGATGTGATCGGTGAACAGATGCCTTATCAAGATGAACAAAGTAGAATAGTGTATTACAAAAAGAACAATCTTTAAACCATTTCCATCTGATAAGTAAAAATCAGTGTTCTCTAATCTGACTAGACAATTAAAATCCTCCGATTAAAAAAAGAAATGTAAAGCTTGAAACTGAAGAAAAGTTAACCTCTAATTCTTCAATCCTAATAATTCTTAATCAGCGAAGAAAAAAATCGTGGCAACATGTGAACGAATCTTGAAAAAACATCAAACCAACCACCCCTCAGTGAAAAGATGATCAACAAAAAGAAACGCAGATATCCAAGAGGAATGGAAGCCGCAGCACGTGTCAACACGTGGCGAGCCGTCTCGACAGAGCGCCTAACTCAAAGGCACAGGCCAGTCTATATTTAAAATACCAGCGAACCACGAGGGATACCAAAATACCCAAAAATCACAAAATCCCCGCAGAGAGCGAAAAATCTGGAAAAAGAACAGGAGGAAGAAAGAAATGAAGGAAAAAAAATAATAATTTCTCTTTCTTCTTCCCCTTTATCCCGAGATCAAATAACATGATCCAAAGAAGATCTTCAGGGAAAAGGAAAAAAATTAAATAAGAAGAAATCTTTTCATTTAAAGATCAAACAATTGGATTCGAAGAATATCTGAGAGAGAAGAATAGGAAGAGGAGAAATAAAAGAATTTAAGTGAAGAAAAGAGGAAGAAGAAATATGGAATAATCAAAGTGGAAGAAGAAAAATGGAATAAAAAGAAGAACCGTCATTTTCATCGAGAAAATGAAAATATAAGACAATTTTCGTTTCTTCTTTTCCATCTGAAAATAAAAGAATCAGATTCTAAGAATATTTAAGAGGAAGAAGAAAAACAGAAGAATCTAGGAGAAAGAAGAAAAATGAAGTAAAACGAAAACCGATCATTTTCATTAAAAAAAAAAGAAAAGAAGAAGAAATACAATAAAATTTCTTTCTTCTTCTTCGTCAAACAATCAGATCCAAAGAAAATCGCAGAGGAGAAAGGGTAACAATCGTTTCCATTGAATGTATATAATTTTTTCTCAAGATCAAACGATAAGATCGAAAGAGGATCTCCGAAAGAAACAATAAAAACACTTACTTTTATAAAAAAAGAAAAGAAACAGAATAATGAGGTTAAGAATAATTCATCTTTCCTCCCTTTCTCATCTCAGAATTTTGATTTCATGGAAGTCCTCGATGCTTCCTCAGTCGCTTCGTAAATAGCCTGACAATAGATTTCGTTAAGTCGTTTTCGATTCTTGGCGGGACGTGGACGTAGTCGATAGCAGAGGCCAGTATCGAACGATATAATTCAAGGAGGCAGAAGGGACAGTACGGCGATACCGACGTTTCCTATTAAACGGGACCGTGTAATTTTGCTATTGCGCCGGGTCAGCGATCGCGTATAATCCGCGCTCCCCTTTTTAGCATTCTGCCGTGTTCCTCCTATTAATTTATCTGGAACGGATCGCGGAGATCGGAGGAGCCCGGCTGCCTGTGTCCAGCTTTGTCTGCGCCGGAAGTAGTCGCCGTGGAAACGGCCCGGAAGAAAATTGGACTTCTGACTGCTGGCGTTTTAAGAACAGATTGACAGACGTCTTCACGATCATGTATGTTATCGATGATTAGTTTTGACAATTCTGCCGAGTGCTAGAGAAAATATTTTTCGATGAAATTTGGTGTTTTTTGAGGAAAGAATTGAATAAGTGAAACAAAGGGAAAAAATTCCACTGGATTTTCTTTTTGGGAAATTGAGAAAATTGATATGGCTGCGTATTTATTAAAATTGTTTCAAAATTTAGAGAATATTTTTGGACGAAATTTGGTGTTTTCTCAGGGAAGAATTGAACGAGTGAAAAATGAGATTCTAATGCACATTATTTTTTAGAAATTGAGTTTTGAAAAATTATTTGTTAAAATTGTTTCAAAATTATTACTTGGAATTGTTACTGTAGTGTCAATAATTTATTCAGCTGTAAGATGGTTTGATTTCGGTTTCCTGGAAACAAGGTACAGTAGAATTTTTTGCTTCTTCTTAATCGTTAAATTTATTTTGAAGAGGAAAATTTTAGAGTTCTGTGAATTAAATGAAAAAGCAAGAGAAAAAGTGTTTTGCATATGAAATACTTTTATACTTAAAATTTGAATTTTCATTTTTTCGAATGTAAAAATGTTTTCTCTATCATTCGTAGTGCTTTAAAAAAATAAAATATGAAATGGTTTAAGTATTTATTTGGAAAATTGACCAAAATTTGAACTAGAAAAATATTTCTTACCTAGCTCATACTTTTATTTAATTTTCTATTTAAAACAACTTTGAATTCCCTTTTTTCAACCAAATTCAACTAAAAACA